TTAAAGCAGCCGCAAGTGAAAGAATGGCCACCACAAATGGCAAGGGGTAAAGGACAGGACAGGCTGATCGAAGAAAGAATCGAATGAATGATTTAATTTGTGCATTGAGCTGGCTTTCCTTGGCTCGCAATCTGTCGCACGCTGTCTCGTTCCATCGATTGCGACATAAATCTCGCGGGGTACCGCGTACCGATAGCTCGAACGACAGGTTTTCTATGTTGGACAACGACTTATCTGAATGAATTCTGCGGCTTTTGATATTTGTCTGCTTACTGGTGCCGATTAGTTATGTCACGTGTCTCCTGTAATTATTATTGCGCTACGGATGTTTCTGCATTTATGAGAAGAAATGCGTGATTTAGCGTACGATATACGAATGTAATATTTAGATATATATTATTATTATTAGATAATATTATTATATATTATATTATTAATATTATTATTAGATTATATTATATATTATATTATTATATTATATTATTATATTATATTATATATTATATTATTAATATTATTATATATTATTATTATTATTATTAGATAACAGTGTGAACGAGGAAGGTTCATTCTTTCTCTCTCTTTTTTTCTGGTTCCTTTAAACATGAATTTGTGATAATTTGAGCGAACGTAATTCAAATTTCATCTCTTAAATCATACTTGTTGAAATTGAAGAAGTCAAACTACACGATATTCAAGGAAAAGAAAGTTTGTCTCTTGGTTTCTTCAAACATAAATTATGACGAAATACAAGTTACATTTCTTTAATTCTATTCGTTAAAATTAAGATATCGATCCGCGATAATTTATTTTCAGAAAGAGAGAAAAACTGGTAAAAAGCTACGAGGGTAACGTAAATTCTTCAACCAAAGATGAAGATTCTTCGTTATGCAAATGAAGCGGAGTAGAAGTAAAAGTAAAGATGCTCTCGCGTCTCATTCGACGTTCATTGTCACGCAAGGCGACGCGCGTGAATTTCACGCACGCGATGGAATTCTTTCTCGATCGAAAGAGAGACGATCGGTGTCGCGTGAAGTCTGATTCATCGACTGGCACCGGACCGACCAGTACCGTACAGTATGTATATGTATTTTCAATGAAGCTGGTAGTTCCTGTCGATGACGCGTAACCACGAACGCGTCCATTGCAAATGCGACTCGGTATGGGGTCAGTTGTCAGTCGACAACTCGACGCCTGTCCAAGCGATCGATGTCGGAGATGTAATTCTTTCTTCTACCTTCTTGCCATTTCCCGCACGTTCTCATCCAAATGGGCAAACTGCATCGTTAAGATCAGCCGTGAGAGTGCAAAGGGAATTAGAAGATTGGGAATTATAAGAGCGTTTCTGCGTTTATTGTTTAAAAATGTTGGCTATGGTTTCTCAAGTTGTGAAAACATACGATGATACAGAATAATTTAATTCCTAATTAGAAAATGATATGTTTAAAAGATAAAATTCTTAAAATTCTGGAATTCTTCGTTTAGAATTGTTATAATCTTAAAATCTTCTATTATAATTTTCAGTCTTCTATTATAGTCTTCAGCAATACAGTACAGAAGTATTTTCTCAAGTCACGAAAATACATATATGGCGATATAAAATAATTAATTATGAAACTAAAGGAATGATCTGTTTAAACGTTGGAAGAATGGAAATTTTCATTTAAACAGGCCACAAATTTTCGATCGGCTAGTCGAGCAACGAGAAAGTAGAAGACAGCAGGGGGGTGGAAAATAGTTTCATCATTTCTATCTAATCGATGATACTTGCTTTTTGCTTGAACGAGAAAGTGCAAAATGAAATCAAACGAAACTGGATCATAGAGATTCCAAATAAGATGATAAAATCATTTTCTTGGCTGAAGTGTACGTGAATATGTTACGAGGGAAATAAATCTTCGTAATGAAGATAGTTCGACATCGTAATCGTGATATTGAGAACAAAACCAAAATGATCTCATCCGAAATTTTCAATCGATTTTCAGATCGAACGAAAACTTTTTTTTCAGACTTTTCTGAACGATGTTATTTTCCATTTAAAATTTCAGTAATTGAATATGCAAATTAAATTGTATTACGCGCACTGTTTGCTATTCATCTGTCGCTCCACCTGTCCAAATAGAGGAACAACAATCAGTCAAACATGAATAACGTTATTAAAAATCGCGCAAGAGAGAAATTACTCTTCAATCACTTTTCTAGCGAAACAACAGACACGCCAGAGTTAAGAAAATTAAATTGTTTTCACTCTGTCTGTCTCTGCCTCTTCTCTAAACATCGAAACTCACGTCCGCTCTATTCTCCTTCATCGATTAACAAGTGGAACGAGCCGAATACGAATAATCAAGGATAAAAGCGACGAAGAAACGAAAACGAAAGAACGAACAAAGTAAAGGAAAAAAAGGGGGGAGCGGGAACGAAAAAGTCGACGGAGTAAATGAAAATAATAACAGAACAGTGCCCGTGGAAACGTGAGTGTTCTGTCACGCTCCAAAAAGCAAGCGTCAATTACGCCATTTAATTGGATGCAACAGGTGGCCGCGCTGACCGAGCCGATGGCGAGCAAACGTCGGTCGGTTGCCCCTTTTTCGAAATAATAATAAGCTCCCTGGGAACCAGTTGGGGCGCGCGTACCGAAAACGGAAGCGGCCGGTTCCACTTGGTTGCAGAAGACGCGAGAACTTCATCCGCGACCACTTTTCCCGCAGGAGCAGCAGCGGCTCTCTCGCGTCCTCTCGTCGGATCGTCCAATGAGTCATTTGTCGCGATCCATCGACGATAACGTCCCTGAAGCTGCATGTTACGTGACGTAACGAGGATACATCAGGTATCGGAGAACGGCAATTATCAATTCGGAGAGAAAGAAAACGTGGATAATAGCGAAGATTTCTCGAAGGTTCATCGTTGGAAGTCGAGAATCGGCTCTTCATTTTGGTATTTTGTGAATTGAAATTAGAAGTAGATTTGGATTACTCAATTTTTAGGTAGAGAACGTTCATGTTTTGAAGTATCAAAGTTATATAGGGGAGAATAAATGAATGTATAATGAAAAAGATGCGTGTATTTATGAAAATACAAGTCCGAGGAGCATTGTAAACTTTATACACATAGAATACATATTAAAATTGAGTAACTTTCAATTCCAGCCTGATTCAATTGTGAAATCCAACGATACTGATGTAATTAACCCTTTGAAAAGTTCATCCACTATACTTATCCCTGTGCCATTTCAATTATAAACGTCAGGTGACAATTGAAAGCAATGAAAATTATCCAATCTACTTAAATATTATTATCTTTCAAAATGATCAAAAAACATAAATCGTCAACATCACAGGCGTTGTCCCTGAAAGATCAAACATTGAATGTTCATTTTTAGAGTCAAGACTCGATACTTTGAATAATAAATGGTAATCGATGTTTCTTAAACTCTATAGTCTTCCCAGCGAATCGCGCCGTGAGATCAAACTGTCGGAGAAGAAAATTGAAATCGCGTCAGTCTCGAGGCTCCAGACGAAAAAATTACAGTGGACTCGCTGCTGAGGTCGAGTTGGCTGTTCCTGGCAACCCTTCATTACAACCGACTAGATTCTCCTTCTTCTCGCGTTTCTCGCACGCGTAAATTTCTCCGTTCTTTGGACTCGATCAGCTCGAGGAAAGAAAAGAAAAGAAAAGAAAAGAAAAGAAAAGAAAAGAAAAGAAAAGAAAAGAAAAATGAGAGACTTGAAAAGATCAACTAGGAACAGGCCAGGAAGGATTATCGAGAACACGAGACACGCTAATGGCGACCTTGTAACGGAGCGGATTTAAAGAAACTCGCGGAGACCGCAATCGCGTCCTCGTTGATAAGAGACGGCGCGCAATCTAAGCGCCATTCGAGCTCGTCACGGCGCGTCTCGTCGGCTGCATTCCTCGGCAAACCCCTCGAATCTGTCTTGCATTCCACTCTAATTAAAACTATCCCGCGCGTTAACGAAGCTTTCGTGTCGCGAGCCACTTAAAGTCCAACATCGAGCTCGTCCGAGGCTCTCACGATGGTTAATTTCACGTTGTCCGCAGATCGATCCGAGGATAAGGGTGCGTGGTGCGTTTTTAAAATAAAAAATTCCTGCACCTGGCCTAATCGGTGACGCTAAATCGGCTCCTTGCCTAGTAATCGCGCGTTAATTCCTTACACGGAACCCTCATCGGTTCGTGGATTCTTATCTTCCTTGGTAGAATTTTAACTGAAGAACGAAGGCACGTACATACGTTCTTAAACTTATTACTAGTGCGAGTAAGCAGTTTTTTTTGGGGGGAGGGGGGGGATTAATGATCCTAGAAAAATTTAAATTAAGAAAAGTATCAACATTTTTAAGTGGAAATTCAAATGTAATTTTAAGCGAAAAGTACTAATATTTCCAAATGGAAATTTATTATAAATTTAATAATATATATAATAATAATAATTATATAATATATATATAATTATAATATATAATATATATAATATAATATATAATATATATAATAATAATAATATATTATAAATTTGAGCCTTTTTAACTTTAAACTCGTTTAGAATTACAAATTTCTACTCATGCAATTATCAAAGCTGTAAAGTGTAAAGCTTGTCAGATAACCATCGAACAAAGGTTGAAGGATCATTCCACAATAAGGTGTAAATCCCCTCAGTCAACGTTGGAAAACTATAATCTCCCGTTTCCAGTTAGCGGTAAAACCTGAGATCGTTTCTAGATCAAATCAGTGACAGTTTGTTGAGCACAACGTCGTCTGTCTAAGCCCGATCTCTCGTGAAACAGCTTTAGACAGTTATAACCACGGACGAGCCGTTTCACCCGGTCTCGATTCTCCGGGTCTCGGTTGAAGAGACCCTGGGAACCAGGGCCGACACCTTCGTGAAAGGTTGCTTTCAACGGGGCATGAATCCACGAGGAGTGAATCGGCTCGAAGGAGAACGAAATGGGGGGGAAAAGAAAAAATCTCGCGTGTAGACTCACCGAGCACGGAGAGGCTGAGCCCGGAGCCTGGCCTCGCTGATCTGTGCCTGTCTGGGGGCGCCATGGTGTTGCTTCTAGACGGATTTATAGGGCGCTTTAATCCACTGACAGACTCGTTTCTTTCATCGTAAAGTCACAAACACACTCGGTTCGTTCCTCGAACACTTGAACCTTCGATAGTAATATAATTCTAACGAGTGTACACGACTGGTGTTTCAGCAGTTCTTTGAAGATTCTTCAGGCTCTTCTTCGGGGATGCTTCGATCGAAAGAAACGAGGAGGAATGTCCCGTTCTCTGTCCACCAGTCTCTCATTTTATTTCCACTCTTGGCGTGACCGATTAACGCAACAGGAATCAACGAAACGGTTCGCGCACGAGCGAGATCGGCCCACCACGCCAAATGCGACGAGGCGTACCGAGGAAGGCGCAGAGGACAAGCGTCACGAGCGACAATACACGCTCGAGGAACGCTGGCCGAGCACTGACTGGCAGACACCGAGCACTCCACCTCGAGCACCGGTCGACTCGCGTGACGCCCGATTGGCTGATTGGCCGACCGGTCGACTGGCTTGGCTGGATGGATGCTGGTTATACTCCGACGACTCCGTTCCGATCCTCACGGTCGTTCTTCCGTCGAGTTGCTCCGATGGGTCTGATGTCTTGGCGAGCGCGCATGCGCTTTCCCCACGATTCTATCGAGTCTTCTGCTTCTTCGAGCTGAGGCTAGCCTCGTATGGTATAGTATACCTCCTGTGTAGATCCAGAGACTCTTCTTCCTCTTCTTCTTCTTCTTTTTCTTCTTCTTTCTCTTGGTCTCCGTTTTTCTTTTAGGTCTGCCCCTCCTTCTTTTTTCTTTCTTCTTTTTTACTACCAAGGGAATTTTAATTGTGCCACTGAACATATATAGGTCGATTCAAGTGAGGCTATCGGGGAATTGAAGATGGTTTTCGAGACTCGGGCTGGTCAAGGACAAGATCGTGCCTCTTCCTGCCGTTGCATAAGAGTTCGTGTTTCTTTAGGATCGTTCGGCGTCTCGCTGTTTATATTATAATTTCGTGGACTGCTTGTTTTCGGTGGTCCTCTCGTCGTAAAAGGGCAGCCGTATGAAGAATTTTTCGGTGAATGATAGCTTTCAAAATGAAAGACGAAAAAATATACAATTTGCTTGAAGAGCAAACGTTCTTCTTTAGGATTTTTGTATGCTTGTAATTAGGCTATAATTAGACTTTCAAAGAATCTGGAGAAACTTTTCTTGTGAAATATTCATAACTTAAATTAATATAAATAACGCGTAACATGAATGGACATGAGTCGTTTGAAATTACGGTTGAAATTAATATTACATTTGGAATCCATCGTAAATCTTCTTTGAGATAAACAAATATTTAATTGTGCAGTATAAATTGACTTGAAATAAGTATTACTCTTAAAGTTTGAACAAATATTCTATTAGTTTCATCGTCGTATACTAAACGAGAGGAAAACTAGCGTCTCTGTGGTTCTTTTGTTCAAATCCCTTCCTCTCTCTTGCTCACGTAACTCAAACGTTACAGCAGTCGTGAAAGTGTTAATTGTACACTACGTTCAGACTGATATCGATCCTCGAAATTTTCAAACAGTTTCTACATCATTCAACACGAATATTATAAAATCTGTAAATTCAATTCTCAAAGAGGAAAACAATTCTTCTTCTAGGAAAATAATCCGGAAATATTAATGCAATTGTACAATAGAAATTGGTCGTAAATGTATATCTCGCACGTTCGTTATTATTAAACATCGAGCCGAAGGGAACAGAGTTTACGATCGTTCTTTCTCTCGAGCTCGATCCACTCAGCTGGATCATTCAGCTCGAATCCGCGACGCAGAAAGCGCGTGTATGAGAGGCTTGCGCAATTGCTGGGTTATTTAATAAAACAAAGTACCGACCAGTATCGAGCGGGTAATAGTACGCTGCAGGGAATGCTACCGTTGTTCAAGCGTCCAATGCCGAGAGAAGTTGACACGGCCTCTCGTTTATCCAGCAGGCGTGAACGCGTTCAGATCTGCCACGTGCATTCAAAGTCCCTCGAAGTCCTTGCATCGAGAACCAGGACACCTAAAGGCTAATAATCTATGCACGCTACGACACTTACGAGACAGCTGGCGTTAATTCGAATCTCGGTTAATCCGAGACTGTTCCTCACTTAACACTGGCTCAGGTTATTTTCATTTGCTCCCAGCTTATTTGACAGATTATGTCTGCAGGTTGTGAACTACAGGTTTTGTAAGAGGAATTTTAATTTTTCTTTCTTCCTTTTCCCACAAATGAAATTCTTCTATATGAAAAAATGGTTTGACCAGAAGAAAATGAAGCACGACTCTCTATCATTCATGCACCAAGATATTCACGTTCTCAGACTAATTTCTTTCGAAAAGTCCAGCAAAATTCTAGAGCGAAGAAATGAACAGTTAGTATGTAAACAGGAATATATAAATATATATATACAAATTCTACGTTGAAAAATCTAATGGAGTAGTTGGTAGAAACTCTAGTCCAAGGAGAAGGATGATATCCGATCACGCAACCGCAGATACTCTCGTTCGCCCACCAGGTGCTAACTGCGCGATTCTCAACGGAAGTAGCGTTGAAAGGACGCGTATACTCGCGCTCTTCGCTCGTTCAATACTCGTGACGCCCACGATCGCATCACGTAATAGTCCGGGCGAAATTCAAAAGCTTTCGAACATTGATTGCTCGGAAACAACTGAAAATGGGACGAAATAGACCTAACTAACCTAAAATAAATCGAAAAACTGACTTGTTATGAACGCAAATTCGAAATTACTTGGATCCTTTTCGAAATGGTCATTGATCATTATTAATACCTCTTTATTAATACTTTTCAATTATCATTATTATATTATTATATTATTACTATATTATTATTATATTGTTATATTATTATATTATTATTATTAATACTTCTCAATCTATTTGAATTTAAACTGCACCATGTCCAGTAAAATCATTTTAAGTATATATATTCTCTGAAGTAAATTTATTTGAATTCAAGTAGTCTAACGTGTGTGAAGCTTGAATTCAAATTAATTAGCGACGAATGAGTTGTCGGCGCCATTTTAAGTACATATCTATTTTATGTAGTCACTTCGTTTTGATACAAATTGCCTAGTTCTCTAAACGCAAATTCAAGCAGCTTGACGTCGTCTTTGATAATTTTAGACATTTTCCGATAATTATGCTCGAATGCTCAAATTCGAAGCGACACGACTCAATCAGAACGAATCTTAAAAAAAAAAAGCCTGCAGACACCAGACACGTCACAGTCATCGATTCACGAAGCAGGTGCAGCTCGTCTAGGATTCAATCTTACATCGTCCTCCCTCTACCACGCCACTTTCTACTTTCACGTCTGTTCGATATGCACAATATCTGCATAACGAATGGAGTCTAGATCCAGCTAGACGTCGTGAAGAGGAGGACAAAAAGGAGGTGTTCCAGGAAACGAATCGCTGGCTCGCTTGCATTCAAGTCTTCCTCCTCTTCTTCTTCTTCTTCTTCTTTTTCTTCTTTATCCTTGCTCTAGTCGACGATCACGAGAGAGCCTTCGCGCGATCCGATCCTTTCTCGCTGCTGCGCTGTCGCGACGCGTTCGTTCGTTTCTTCGAGCGACGCCCCTCTCCCAGCGGTGACCCGATCTCTCGAACAGGTTAAAGTAGCTCCTTCACGTACGTTCGTGTGATGCGTGTATGTAGAGTATGTGTGCCTGCTACTCAGCCTACCCAGCCGTATTATTACGTGTCGCTTTTGCGGGCCTTAGGGCTCCCCTGTGCGCTCAGCATGTAACAGGTTCCAGTCGCACGCAACGGCCGGGAATGGGCGAGAGATCGCCTCGCAGGAAAAATGGGAAAGAAGCCACTGTACGCGAGCTCCGACGAGTAAGGCTGTGCCTGTTACTCTCCTTTATTAATCTCTTGCGCTGGAATGACGTGAACTTTTTGTCTTAAAGTTGCAATATTTTCTCAGTTTTAAGTTAATATTTAAATGTATAACCGAGGGAAAACAAACAATAAATTTATTATTTACTTCGCAATAATTTCTATCCAGTGATATACCGACGAGTTCGAAAAGAAATTATGTTGTATACGGTTTGGTCACTCGTTATGGTTCGCAATCAGTTACAACCCGGGCATTAAAAATAGTTTCTTCTTCCCGCATTGATCGAACTTCCCTGCATTGCGATTCTGTGAACGTTCAGGACAACTTTGTAGGTTGTACTTCTATAACACTGAGTTCGAGAATTCGCACTCTCAACGACGAAAAATTTCTGAGAACAGTTAAACTTGATTTTTGGTAAGTCTGGTAAAATGGATGTTGATACAACAGCACAGTGATTTTTTTCATTACCCAAAAATTGTTTCATTATCTAATTTTCGCTTGTGTTTCAAGATATTAAATAAAGTGATTTAATTTATTATTTATTGAACGATTGGTTAAATTTTGTTATGATATTAGAACCTTTGAATCTGTTGACCATGGAATCGCGTGTACGATGATTCGAAGCTCAAGTGGAAGGTGCAGGTAGCTATTGCGATTGATTAATGGTTTCGAGGCAGCTTCGATCAGTTTTTTTTTTTTCACCCTGAGACTTCTAATAAAGTAGAATTACATAGATCATTATCGACTAACAATAAGAACGGTGAAATATACTACTACATCTGCTGAGAATTTAGAATCACCGATAGTTCCAATGTACAAAAAAAAGAAATCCAAGAAAAAAGATCCCATTCCTTGAACTCGATGTTCAAGAGTTATTAAAATTCAGGAGATTCAAATTTAATTGATGTGAAGCTCAAGACAATGTTAATGTAAAAACAAATCCCGAGAAACACATAATAAGGCTCACTGAAACAGAACTACAATCCCTTAATTAATTCCACTTTAAAAAGTTCCATAACTCGAGAATAATTCGATGGAATTGTTATAGAAGTTTTGCATCTGGCAAGATGGCGAGAATATTCAATTGGCCGTGGTTTCTCGATGAAAACGCGGGGATATACGGTACCGTGCGTATTCGACGGGCCATCGAAATCATGCTACAGAGTGTGCCACGGCGCGGGGTGAGTTCTTTTTGCTCGAGGGAGAGTGTACCTCGTGTCGAGACCCGTATAAGGACCGACTTGCACGGTACAACACACCGGGTTCTCGGCCCCCTGCCTTCCAGTACACAGGATCCGCTATAATCCGGTACCGATACCGGCTATCTCGCCGCAGGATCATGCGTAGTTAATTTGTCGTAGCTCCCTTTTTCACTACCAACCGTTTCCACCTTGGTCACTGCCGAAGAAGTACCTAAATCAGGGGTAACTGCGCTTTACTTTATTCTTTTTAAACCACGGTCGTTCATCGATTTGGCTTCGTCAGCGTCGGTTATATGCGTTATGTAACCCTTATGCCGCGGTGAGATCATATACAGTCGGCACTTGAGAGTGTATATTGCGATAAGTTTTAAACTGTGGGCTTTTTTATTCGCTGAGGATAATTTTGTGAATACCTGCAGGGTAGTGTTGATCGAGTTGATAGAAA